TTTTTTGTCCAACATCTGGATCGAAATGAACATCCATTGGACGTCCAGTATTGTGGCAAAGGAATATCAGGTGGATATCCAATGGATGTCCCACTGGACATAATAGGGCGTCCAATGGATATTCGTAAAGTCCATTGTGGACATACATATCTGACACCCCATTTTATGTACGTGGGGGTCAAAATCACGTTCGAAGATGCCCTTCATACAAACATACAGCAAGTGAATTGCAGCGTGGTAAAAAGAAATGTAGATAAAAGGAGATTTTTTATGGTGAATCACCCGTACACACACGGCACTGGATGTAAAAGGGGGTCGTCATGATACTTGAGAGACAAAGCGTTGTAAAAGTCAACTTTAGACGAGTTAATGAAAAAGCAAAAGCAGTTTCATTTCACCTTTTACGTAACTACCATTAAGGCTGTCCTGGCTATATGTGGCAATTACAACGCTTTGGATCTTGATTTCTATTAATTATTATTGCTTTACTTGAAACGCTGAATTGCAATTGCAAAATGCATCCAGGATATTTGCACAATCATTATTAATAATAATTGCATGTGCTTCGACTGTCACCTTACTATTTGTGTCTTCATGCAGGAGGATTTTGATTACAACACAATCCATGACTTTCAATACCAGCAGAACACACTCTCTATGTATATGGCATATACACTGGCGTCCAAAAGTAACGCAAAATCAGAAAATTCAAGCAAATATTTCCGCACAGAAAAGCGTGAAGGTACCTATTTTTCCGAATTATATTTTCTATTTCATATTTTCAGGGTATAGCGTTTGAAAAAATACATAGCCAGGGATTAATTGGGAAAAAATTATCAAAAAACCTGAAATATTCTAGATGATTTCTTCCTCAACACATCATACTTATCGGTGCTGAATCGCCCATTCAAAATTTTGCAATGGCCAGCCATCAGACCTCCCGATTTATTACCCATGTATGCCCATGTGGTGAAGTAGTCATACATAATAGATGTTAAGAAATAGGTGAAATTATTTCGAATATCGTTCATACTTTTATTTGTAACGAAGTTTTGTATTTTGTACCTACCTTCATAATCGATTCGATTCGATTCCCTATATATCACTCGTTTTTTATCATAACTGGCAAAGACTTCAAACAGGTATTTTTCATTCTCCTTATGATACCATAAAGATCTATGATGATACGAAGACAAAATATAAATTCCTCGCAGTTTTCACATCATTCTGTATGCTGTATGTACAAGGAAATAGATCTTTATGTTTATGTAACACATAAATGAGATTTGAGTAGGTATGTATTCTTGCTGACAAGATACTTAACGGAGATTATCTCGACCTTGACAACCAATTAAGTATGTAACTGTAGCACCAATTTCTACATGTTTTCTAGAAATCGCTTGAAACCTTGCCGTCAATTATTAACATGAGTGCCTTGAGGAAAAAACACTACCTATAGGTACTTGTATGAATGGAATATACAGTGCATTTCTTCAATGTCTTTTATTCTTTGAACGGGTCACTGGAAAAATCGAAACTTTTGATTATGAGATTGATGCATAAATACTATACGCCATTAGTATGTGAAGAAATGGACTGGATGATTAATATCCTATTGAACTGTTACCTACTTATTGTGTTTGTTCGGATTGAAACACATGCCTACATACATATATACATATGGGGCACCGAACACGAAACAGATCGAATATCGGAACTCAGTATGCCTGATACGTATAACAATGTCTGGTACCACCATTCCCACCAAGACCATACTATATCTATGCTCTGTATTTCCATCAGCAATACTCTTTCATGGGAAAATCATAATCGATCCATCGCGAAAGCTGCATCACAAAAACTTGTTTTTTTTTTCGTGCGAAAATCTACTTTACACCTCAACAGCTCTTCATGATCTACAAAGCACAGATACGGCAAGTTTTAGAATACTGTTCCCACATATAGGGTTATGCACCCAAACATACGTTGATGCTCTTAGATTCCATCAAGAGAAGAGCCATATTCGCCTGGTGGGTGATGCCACACTCGATAATCCTTTGACATCAAAAGCACACCGTAGAAAAGTCGGCAACCTTTCACTTTTCTATACACTGGGAAAAAAATCAAGTGAAATTCCACTCAAGGTCCACGCAATAATGTGTCATTTCCGGTCCCCGCCCGATTGAGTTGAAACAGGTTGAAATATCACCCTACTTGACTGTGTACAATGGTAATTCACGAGCCGATTCAATCAAATTTGTTGTGAACATTCTCATTGGTAGAAAAACTTGATGAAATATCTAGTTTGAGTTGAGAATTCACTCAAAAATTTCATTCAGTAAATTCGCTCACAACCACATATGCAGTCGACCAAATGAATTCTCTACAGTGTAGATACTTCCACGGGAAATATGTTCTACGAAGACTCTGCTATAATTCCATCACTAGCAATACCAGTCAAACGAACTCGACAGACCCAGTCAGCACATCCTTCCGTTGTCAACCTTGAAATATGTCGAAACAACACTTTTCCAAAACTCGTTCGTCTATAGAACGACAAAGCTTTGGAATTCTCTGCAATTGCTCCCGAAAACTTATAACCTCCAAAAGTTCCAAAAAAATATCCAGTACCTGCCAGTACCTATACCTCGTCTTCCTATCCTCCCTAGGTACTCACGATGTTCTTCGAACATTATGAGAGAGGTTTGACAGTTGAGGTTACGATAGGAAGATGTCCCCTTTGAATAAAAAATCGACGTGCTTTTGCAATTTTTTTCACCATGTGTTATCAAGATATTCGATATTCGTTTTTGATGCCTCACCGTCCCCACCGTGTATATTTATGTAGTTATTGGAATGAATGAGTGTTTTTTTATGATTGTCATAGAATCTCCCCAATCTCATTAATTTTCAGTCGATTGTACATTTTTTGTTATAAATTTCTTAGTTATCCCACCTCTTCCTTGAATTCTGACTACTAATAGATACTCTATTTTTTTTCCCAAATTGTTTATTTGTGTCATTTTCCGTTTTCTCACCCTGTATATCATACCGGAATACCCGAAACGAATGCATGCAAATAGTATTGTAGAAATTGTAATGCTCCGCTGGTTGCCAACGGATTTTGTGTTGATTCATCTGTTCTTCTTCACTTCCGATGACTTTTTTGCTATTTAAGCTCATTTTTTAACAATGACGTTACAACCGAGCTCACACAATCAACATGATTTGAGTTCAGTCACATTTTAATGAACAAATACTGGCCAGAACTATATTGGACGACATTGAAATATACCTATAGGAAAGGAACATCTTGCAATGTCCTTGGAGTTTCCATGAGTTGACGCGATTTATATATATATATGTGAGGAACTGAAAATAGTATGATTCTGTGAATTCGTAGGAATAGTGGAGGAAAACATGAAAAATCCAACTGAAGTGGTTTCATTATTATGAAGCTTCCATTTTTTCCAAAGAGACGTTAATTTTTTAATTCCTCCCATGACTATGATTAGTATGATTCAAATTCATGTATCAATAAACCCTCCATACCAAAAATGAACCGTTTTTAAGTAGAGTTATTCTAGAAAAAGTGACTAGAAATATCAAAAATTTCAGACAGTTATGCAGAATCAAGTACTTACTTTACCTAACTATAGAATATTTTCGAAATCATGGGTTTCGACTATAGCGAAACCAATTCGAACAAGGTATGTTTGATTTGTTCGATAGGCTGCGAGAAATGCACCCAAATTTAGGTATTAGTTAATAGTTATGATACATGGATTCGAAGCATAATCATGACAGAAATTGGAAAAATGTAAAATAGAGGGTTTCATTGAAAATAACAAAGATGACGTCACTTCCGGAAAAACAGGAAGCTTTGATATATAGCAACGAAGATACACGGGGTAAATTGGTTCCTATAGTCACTGGATATAATAGTACGTACTAATGTCGGGCTACCAGTCAATATTTATATCTGATCCAAGTCATTCTGGCGTTTTTATTACCTACCTTTTAAGATCTTTCGCCAAAATCTTCGTACATCTTACACGAAACGCTCAAGCGATGTGGCTACTTCCGAGAACAGCGGCGTGTCTTTTTTTTTTCATGTTCTGGTTCCCACGAAAAGGGATATCCTGTAATGTTCAGAGAACATCGTGAGAATCAAGGGAAATAAGGTAGGAATTGGTGTTCTTCTTGAATTTCTGGAAGTTATATGCCTCGGGGAACACCTCCCTTGGCAATGTGGTCCAGAGCCTCGCTGTTCGTTGGATGAACGAGTCTTTGGAAAGAGATGTTCTGCAGGTCTCCAAAGTGACCACGAAGGGGTGCGAAGCCTCAACTCGACGGGTTAATCTCGCGGGGACTGCCAAGGGAGGTACAATTGTTGATATTTCAGAAGAGCATCGTCCATGGAAATATCCATAAAATAGAGCCAGATTGCCAACTTTTCAACGGTGTTCCAAAAAAGTGAGTGAGTTTGTCATCGTGGCATCACCCACCCACCCTTTTTTGGACAGAATCCAACAGTTTCAGGGTATATGTTTGGGTGCTACACTCCAAATATGGGGGCAGTATTCCAGGACAGGTCGGATCTGTGCCTTATAGATCATAAGCAGCTGACTGGAAGTGAAATAGCTCCTGGCCCGAAACAGAAAACCAAGTTTTTGGGATGCACTTTTAGCAATTGATTTCACGTGATTTTCCCAAGAAAGGTTATTGCTGATAGTAATGGTATGGTTACTCCTGACATGCTTATGTTTGGCACAGTGAGATCGGCTTTCCTAGAGAAAAGGCATGCTTGTGTTTTGTTTGCATCGAAATCTACCAAGTTATTGGATCCCCATTCGAGAATAGTTGCTAAGTCCATATTTATGTTGTCAACAATTCTCCCTCGTTCGTTTCTGATTTGCCTGGTTGGTATTGGAGCCCTCGTAACATGACATTGCTTTACCAATCAACATTCACTCAATATCCTCTTTCTCCTCTTGCAGACTTCCCCGGAATGTGCTTCGCCTCCACCAGGTGCGCCACAGTAGAGCCAGGCAAGAGCTGGGACCTCTCCCCCTTCTGCGGTCGCTCTACCTGCGTCCTCTCTGAGGACAAGCCCCCGCGCCTCCTGGAACTGGTCGAGGACTGTGGGCCCCTGCCTCTGGCCAACCCCAAGTGCAAGCTGGACGAAGGTAAGCCCCTTTTTTGCCGCCTCGCCAAAAACGGTGTTTGCTAAAATCGGTGTTTGAAACCGTCGGCCATAACAGGTGTATGGAACCATCGGCCAAAACAGTGCTTGGCCAAAAGAGTGCTTGCCAAACACAGTGATTGCCGAAATAGGTATTTGAAACCGTCGGCCAAAATAGTGCTTGACCAAAACAGTGCTTGTCAAAACAGGTGTTTGAAACCGTCGGCCAAAACAGTACTTGGCCAATACAGGTGTATGGAACCATCGGCCAAAACAGTGCTTGGCCAAAACGTTGCTTGACAAAAACAGTGCTTGCCAAACACAGTGCTTGCCAAGATAGGTGTTTGGAACCGTCGGCCAAAACAGTGCTTGGCCAAAACAGGTGAATGGAACCATCGGCCATACAGTGCTTGACCAAAACAGTGCTTACCAAAAGAGGTGTTTGAAACCGTCGGTCAAAACAGGTGTATGAAACCGCCAGTTGAACAGTGCTTGACCAAAGCAGTGTGTAACGGTCTCAGGGGTTAGGTGGGTATACTGATAGAAACTCTGATGAATCAGGAGACTATTTATTTGCTTCAAGTTCACCAAAATCACGTGGTTGAGCGAAAAGTCGAAAACCTAAATATGAAATGCACTAATGAGCCCCAGAACAGTGTATCACTTAAAATAAAAGGTGATGCATTTATATACAAATAAGTAGAGAGAAGTGTAGGAATAAATAACATGTGACCTGATCGGTCGTCAAAAAAATCATAAAATGGTATAAAAGAGTTTAACCCACCTAAATATGAAATGGAGGCACAGGCCAAGATGTTCAAAAGGAACATTGGGCACATGAAATAACAACATTTCTCTTAACAATAACTGACCTAGGCGCGCGCATGGATTTTGAATCTATTATTAATGAAATGTGGGTTGCCTAGCTTCTTAAAGAATATTTAGTTTATTATAAATAAAAGAGAGCATTGGCGGCCAAACGAAGCTGATGGCCACAGTTGGCCAAAACAAGATGTTCTCAAGTCATCAGAATAGATTTGGTTGACCTAAAAGGTGTTGAGCCAGAATTTAGATGACCAAAATGGTGTTTTATTAGATCAACGAGAGAGTCGATGGTGTCTAGAACAATCGTCATCTAAGACAACATTGCTGGCATATACTACATCAAACATTTTTGCTGGCCAAATCAGTGCTTTGCCAAACAAAGCTGGCCATAGTTGGTCAAAACGAGAGATTCTCAGGTCAGAATAAATTTGACTGAACAAAGCTGTTGTGTGAAAAACGTTGGCAAAATAGAGTAGACTGAAACTAAGTAACTATCGATGCATATAAACAGCGTAGATTGAAACAAAGCTGATCAAAGATGTGTTTAGCCAGAATTGAGATGGTCAAATTGGTGTTTTGTCAACACCTAATTGCTGACCAAAACTGTGCTACATCAAACATTTTTGTTGGCCAAAAACAGAGCTTTTGGCAATAACCAAGTTTTTAATATTTATTGTAATCTCCTGAAGTTTAAAACAAATTCCAATACCTACCTCCGTCCCTATCCTCCCTAAGTACGCACGATTTTGTTCGAATGATTCCCTTTCGTGCCCTTCAAAAGATGAAAAATAAATCTGTGAAGTAGCTATAGGGGGCACACATTATCGTCCTACACTAAATTATTTTCATATTTCCAGAGAAAACCAACAAAACCGCTGCTTTCCCAGGCTGCTGCCCCAGCTTCACTTGTGAAGAAGGTGCCACTCTGGAATATCCAGAAATCCCAACTGTAGCTCCGGTGCCTGAAGAAATTGCCACCTCCACTACTCCAGCTGCTGAGAAAAAGGCATAAGAAAATCTGAAGCCTGCTGTCCCCTCATTCTATCCACATGTTTTTCTTCTGCCTACCTGAAAACTCACAAAACTTTTCATTTTTCTAGACGAATACATTCTCTCTCCCCTTTTTTTTTTTCAATGTACTCAAGCAAGATCTAATACCTTTATATTTTTGCTATTTCTCTGTCCCTATATACTTTCATATTTATCTATACTTTTTCACTTTCTTTTCAACTGACTATTGAACTCTACTTCCTCATTCGAATAGGTATAGGTATATTATTTGTTAATGAATGCCTAAAAATTTCAGAAATTTTTCGGTATGTGTAGGTTCAAGTATTGTGATAACATCAAAGTGTCTTTTTTGCCTATAGCATATTTGGTCAGCCCATCTTGCTGATTTTTTTATCACTTTGATATACGATGTTTTGTAATCAATTTTTCGACATAATAAATAATTTATTAAAGAAACAATTTCATCATTTCTCTTACACTTATTTACCTTGATAAAAATCAGCTCTACCAAACCTACAGGATGTTTGATTAGGGTAAGCCACCGTGTCTGTAAATCTTGAGAGCCAACAAAAATTACCTATAGGTACTATACGAATTCAAGATTCATAGAAAATCAATTGTCACTTCGTCCTATGAATGTGGACCAACTTAAATTATATATTAATAATATTATTTTGTTTTTCTATGAATAAAATTGAAGAACTATGACGCTTATGCACGCTTCATTTTTCTATGATTTATTATGGAATAAAAAAGATATTAGATATTAGAAAATCAACATGAAATATGGTTTTTCTACGACTGTAACACAAAATTGCTCCTGTTTTACTGTGTTCGATACATCAATGAGGTACTTTGTATGTCATCAATTTTATTTCCGTATCTGATATAGCAATGACTCCATTGTGTTAAAATTGGAAAAAAAAAACTCATCGCCCATGGAATGTCAAATTTCAAGCAATGACAGTTCTGTCAAATAGATGAGCATTACTTGAGAGGAAATCAGATGGCTACAAAACGAAGAAATAGAAAATGTCGCTTTTCTAAATGCTCAATTGTGCTTGAGTTGTTCAGGAACGCTGGACCACCTACTGATCGGTTTCGAGCGTTTGGCTCTCATCAGTTTAGGGGTGTTCCAAATGGCATCATTGCCACCATCTGGTGCGAACCTGATGAAACGTATACACAGCCCAGAATTTAAAACCCACGAGGCGTTCGGCCACTGCCAAAGGAATTTGGTTTGGAGTGTTTCTTCCCCTTCACCCTAGATGGCACTCGTGTCCAGACAAGAAAATTCTCATCGAAATGTTTACTTCAAGAGAAAAGTTGCTTTTGTGTAGTTATAAAGTGATATTAATACAAATTGTTCCATAATTGGCGTATAATACATAGTCTCTAGATTCCACGAACGAAAAATAGAGAAAAAAGTTCCCCTTGAGTGCCTACTCACACTCACCGGTATAAAAACCCGGCAAAAAATCAAACAAAATCGATCGCCCTGTAACTCATAATTCTTTCCGATTTTGGTGAAATTGTAGATTCAAGATCGGAATATCATCTTGAATTTCAGTTTCCAAGAAAAGCTGATGGCTTGATCATTATACAGGAAAAATAAAATTAACTCTTTCATCCTAACTATTCAACGGGCTGTGGCGAAAGTAAGTATTATGTTTTGGATTGGAGTATGATTCTTTTTCAACACAATGGTCCTTGATCAGAAAAATAATCAACACCGTGTTAGTTCATAATGCTCCTGTTATATTCAATTCAATTTTGATATATATTTTACCAATTTATTCGAATGAAAAATGGTCTCAATCAGTTGAAATTGAACATGTGTGATGTATCAGATGTAATTTTATAATATACACCCAAGTGTCCCTCAATTTTGATTTTCAATAATAATTCAGAGTTATAAGTTGATACGAAAAAAACTGTATTTCATCAGGAATTAGAAATTTGACCAAAAGTCCGCATTTAAGTTGAGATTATCGTTTTAAATCAGATATCATCATTATTATTATTAGTCATAGATAAATACTTGTTCGGGAATTGATAGGATATAAAGGTGACGCAACTAATTTGTCATTCGGGACCAGGTGCGATGAATCGTCAGTCTAATGTTAGATGTCATCGCGTACGGTTTACTTAAAGTGCTCGTATCGGCTTCAAGCAAGAATCTAGTGCATATCGCGAAATAGTTTACAGGGTTTTTCACAATAAGCGTTAATTAGACGTTTCTGACAAAAGCTACAGATGAATCTGAAAATTTGTTGGTATGTATGAATTCCCATGATCTACACTTCCAAAATAATTTAAACGAAGCGGCATTGCCACTTCTACTAGAAAGTAGCAGCAACTGTGACTTTTCAAATGGAATACCCTGTATTTCATTGCATTTTAGATTTTCCCTGGAGAGCTGATTTCATCAATGCATCATACTTGGGGTCTAGCGATAATGATTACAGAGATATAGGCTGTTCTAAATCGAGCTTTTTCTACTTTAGGATTTTTGTTGTCGATACTTATCATTGGTCAGAACGGCTTCCATGTCCCTATCTCAACTTTTGATTTACTATCTACCGACATTTAATTTGAACAAATACAGAGTGGATTCATAATTCTGATCACCCTGTATATGTTTCAATTAAATGTTAGTAAATAGTTAATCAACAATTAAGATAGGGACATGTAAGCCGTTTCGACAAATAATGAATAGTTTCGACACAAAAAAATCATTAAGTTGAAAAATGTCGATTTTGAACACCCTATATCTCTGTCATCTTCCGTGCTAGACCTCAAGAATCTAAAAATGCAATGAGAAACAGGGTGTTTCATTTGAAAAAATCAAACTTGAAGCTACTTTGTATTAGAAGCGGCAACACGGCATCGTTTAAAATATTTTAGACGTTTAGATCATGTCAAATTATACTAACCATCAAATTTTCAGATTCATCTATGGCTTGGTTTGCCAGAACCGTCTAATTAACGCTCATTGTGAATCACCCTGTATTGTTTAACGAGCACGGAATGATAGTCATTAGAAATTAGCATTCCGTGCGAGTAATACACTATACTTTTTCTACGGCTGTCACAGATAACAGCGAAAATTTTGATTTCTTTGAAATGTGACATTTCATGGGAGATGAGATTTTGTGAAATAATAGCGATTTTGTGTTGTATAGTCGTAGAAAAAGAACTGTTAACTGTGTTTATTAAAAAGAGTGATAATCGAGGAAATAATACTGTGTCTATCAAATGCATCGTTCATTATAGCACATTATAGTGATTACATCGCGTTATTCTGTGTTGTGTCGGTGTTTTGTGATGTGATTTGAGAATACATGTGTGGACTATATGCAGATTTCATACTGGTGAGTTTTTTAATTTTTCCTAACACGTGATAGGCACTTTGTGAGAAAATAAATCGATTTCTTACTCCAAGGAACAAAAATGAATTAAGCTATCCATAATGAGAATTTTAGTCCTCTCACAAGACCGAATAAGTACGAATTATACAATGCTTTCGTGAAGTACTGAATGCATTCATTTTTAGCCCAATAGTACATTCCGGAGGAATCTTCCAGTGTAATTTCATGCTCCTTTTCCACAAGGAGGAATGAATTTCTGGAATACATGGTGGTTCATGATTCAAAATTCTGATCACCCTGTATCTGTTTCAATTAAATGTCAGTAAATAGTGAATCAAAAGTTAAGATGGCCGCTCAGAAAAATAATGAGTTTCGACACAAAAAATCCTGATGATGAAAAATCTCGATTTTGACCACTCTATATTTATGTAATCATCCCCACTAGACCCCCAAGTGTGATACATTGATGAAATCAGCTCTTCAGAGAGAATCTATAAATGCAATGAAAGACAGGGTGTTCCATTTGAAGAATCGAAGTTGCTGTTACTTTCTAATAGAAGCGGCAACGACGCATCGTTTAGAATATACCATCAAACTTTCAGATTCATCTATTACTTGATTTGCCAGAAACGTATTATTAACGCTCATCGTGAAAAAACCTGTATTGTTTAACGAGCACGAAAATTAGTATTCCATGCGAGTTATACACACTATACTTTTTCTACGGCTATAACAGATAACAGTGACATTTTTTATTCCTTCGGATTGTAGCAATCTGATTTTTTTTTTATGAAATAATCATCTATTAGACAGAGCTGTCGAGCTGTAATTGCTTGAAATTTGACATTTCACGGGAGATAAAATTTTGTGAAATGAAAATACAAAGAAGTCATTGTGATATCAGATACTGAAATGAAATTGATGACATACAAAGTATATACCTCATTAAAACAAGGGCGATTAAGCAATTCTGTGGTATAGCCGTAGAAAAAGAACGGGTTCAATTTTACAACTGTGTAAAAAAGTGACAATAGTCGAATACATCGTTCGGTATAGTGATCGCGTTATTCTGTGTTGTGTCGGTGTTTTGTGAAGTGTTTTGAGAATTCATATGTGGACTACATGCAGATTTCATACTGGTGAGTTCATTAATCTTTCCTAACACGTCATAGACACCCTGCGAGAAAATAAATCGATTTCTTACTCCAACGAACAAAAATGAATTTAGCTATCCATAATGAGAATTTTAGTCTTCTCACAAGACCGAATAAGTACGCATTATACAATGATTTCGTGAAGTGCTGAATGAATTCATTTTTGGCCCAAAATTAGACATTCCTGAGCGAGTTCCTGAGGAATCTTCTAGTGTAATTTCATGCTCCTTACCCCCAAGGAGGAAAACATTTCTGGAAATTTGTTCAGTTACTATGGTTACGATACGAAATACAGACTGTTTCGATAGGTCGATAATATGATTTGTGAAATTTCCAATGATTATTCAAAGATAAGTTGAAAAAAAAACTAGATTTGATCAGAAATAAGAAAGTTGACCAAAAGTTAGCAATATTTAAGTCCAGATGATCGTATGAAATGACCCTGTATATCAGTATTATTATTATTAGTCATAGATGAATACGTGTTCGGGAATTGATAGGATAAAAAGGTGACGCAAATAATTTGTCATGCGAGAAGAGGTGATGAATCGTGCTCCGTGCTCGTGTCAGTCTTGTGTTAGATGTCATCGCCAACGGTCGGTCTACTTAAAGTGCTCGTATCAGTTTCAAGCAAAAATCTAGTGCATATCGCGGAATAGTATACAGGGTTTTTCACGATGAGCGTTTCTTAGAAGTTTCTGGGAAACCAAGCAACTGATGAATCTGAAAATTAATGGTATGTATAAATTGACATAATCTAACCGTCTGGAACATTCCAAACAATGCGGCGTTGCCGCTTCTACTAGAATGGAGCAACAACTATCATTTTTCAAATGGAACACCCTGTATTTCATTTCATCATTAAGATAAAGGGTGCTCTAAATCGAGATTTTTCAACTTTAGGTTTTTTTGTGTCGAAACTTT